AAAGCACCAGGCTCAGTAACAACCCCACTCAAGTGTTCAAGACTAAAGGCTATGGCTTCTTTTATTCAGTAAATTAATATCATGTTAGATCTTCCTCTTCTCCCACTATACTCAACTTTTTCTAGTGTTACTGTCTTTTCCTATGAGTCTTCTCATGTTATGTCCCATGTACAATACTGTCAGTTTTGTCATTATAGCTTCTAGAGAGATCAGGTTTGATTTGATATAGAATCTACTTATTTGCCTTTCTGGTTATCCATAATATCTCTAAAGTTCTCATCCAGTGTCACACCATTCTCTTTTCTTCACTTCCCAGCTTTTTGCATCCATGTATAGCAATCAGGAATACAATAGTGTGGACAATAGCCTTGGTTTCCATCAACACCCCCAATCAACTTAACCAGCGGTCCCCAACTGTTTTGGGACCGCAGACTGGCTGAGCCTTTGAGGAAGGTGGGGTACCCCCTCATGCGGGCACTCAGGTGCATGCATGAAGGGGTGGGGGAGTGCTCACACCAGCACTGGCACACATGTGTGTGCACAAAAAAGCCGTGGGGAGGGGAATGCGTGCAGGGGGGGAGGTCAGTCTCCATGGCCCAGTCTGGCCACAGACCTGCACCGGGTCATGGACCGGGGTTTGACAACCTCTGCACTTAAGGATGTGTTCCCTCATGCCTGCCCCTCCCAGTCTGAGACCTTTGATTTCTTAGCCACAGCCTCCATCTGGATTAGCGATTGAATAAAATTTTATTTTTTCATTGTCAACATTAGATTTAACTAATTCTTCTGTAATCATTATATTTGACTTATTATTATTGAACTATAACCCTGCTCTTGCACATTCCTCTTTATATTTCAGTAATCATTTAAGGTGTTGTTGCTTTGTGCCAGCAATATAATATGCATATCTTAAACCATTTGTATTTCTTCCACCCATCTTTACTCCTCCTTCCTCTGAATCTATTCTACCTTTTCATATGATATGTTCAGTGTATAGCTTGAACAGAAATGCCTTCCAATCTGGGAGTTTCATCCTCCAGCTCTATCTTCTTAAAAAATTTGAATTGTCTCATCATAGGGTTTTTAAGGTAGGATGTTCTCAGAAGTAGTTTACTATTGCCGACTTCTGTGAAGTACTTGACTATCAAATGAGTGGTGTATGAAAGATCCCTCACCAGTATCACATTCCTTCAAGAACTTATTTATTCCCCCCAAACTCTAAAATGGCTCTTGATGCTACCCTACTAGGAGTCTAGACTGGTAACTGAGCCTACCCTCCTGAAAGTATTATTCTGAGACCCTGGTCACATGAGGGAAATGTTTTCTAGTTCTTCCGATACTTTCCATACCTCTGTTATACTGAATTGTGCTCACATGGTTTATATCCTGGGACAAACGTCCCAAGAACTTATTGATGTCTCCATCTTGTCTCTGTGTTGTGTGACCAGGAACAAAAGCAACAAACTAACTGGGGGATAACTAGAGAACATTTCCCTCATGTGACCAGGGCTTGAGATTTCCTGTCACTTTCAAACTCTGTCATCTCACTAAAGTGTGCATCTGAGAGGTGACTCATCCTAGTACACATACAAAAAGAGCTCATTTCTGGTATTCTGTAAACATCCCAGTTTTTTAAATTAAAAAACACTAGTAACCTTGAGTTTCTGCAGGTTTAAAAAGATCTTGAGCTTTCATGAGAAAATTCTTGTGATTTAAAATTTTGGGGAAAGTATTTTCTACTAGTCAAGGAAGAGCTATTACAAAACAGCCATGATTTTTGTTTTGATCTTAATCAGCACCAAACAACAGATTTACATTTAAATACTTTTCTTTACTGTTAAAGCAGAATAGTGACATTATATATGCAAGTTAGATATTTGAATCTTAAAGCATTTTAATGTGTATAACTCCTTGGCCTGCTTCATAACTTTATGTTGACATCTTTATTGTGGTTGTCTGATGCTAGTATTTTATTGTATCACATTTGGTTTTTTAAGCATTATTGTCTACACTGGAAGTGGGTGATCTCAGTGGGGCAAAGGGACATCTTCCTCATAGGCTAGCAGCCTGGAGGCCACACACTTGAAGGAGTACAGATAAAGGGGGAGGGGCATGGCAAAGAGGCTAATTTGCATCTTAAAAACATTACTGCAGCAATTATGGATTGTAAAGCTTGCAATGAGGTCTTTTTTTAATTGAAAAAATTTGTTTCACTAAAAATCAAAAGAGATTTTGGGGGCTAAGGGCAGACTGGGGTAAAAGCATGTCCACATGTGTCCTGTGGAATACAAAACAAAAACACTTTTGTATTCGTGAAGGCTTTCACGGCCGGGATCTAAGGGTTGTTGTGGGTTTTTCAGGCTCTTTGGCCATGTTCTGAAGGTTGTAATTCCTAACATTTCGCCAGTCTCTGTGGCCGGCATCTTCAGAGGACAGCACTCTGTGCTCTGGTGTAGTTTGCTTGGGAGTATTTATGGCTCTGAGATAGGCTTTTGTCCTATTCAGGAGAAGGGTGATTAGTGTGTCTTGTTGTGGGTGTATTGTTGTGATAAGGAGAAGAGATTGTCTGTCACTGTGACTGATGGGTGTCATTAGCTGGTCTTTTGTGTGTAGTGATCCCTGGTCCTTGTGGTTGGGTAGAGGTTGTTGACCTTTTGCATGCTGTATTTTTCAGAGCTGGAAGCCAAGTTTTGTTAAGTTTCAAGCTTTCCTCCTTTTTGTTGAAGTTCCACTGGTGCTTGTGGATTTCAATGGTTTCCCTGTGCAGTCTGACGTAATGATTGCTGGTGTTGTCCAGTACTTCAGTATCTTGAAACAGAATTTCATGTCCAGCTTGTTTTAGAGCATGCTCAGCTACTGCAGATTTTTCTGGTTGTTTTAGTCTGCAGTGTCTCTCATGTTCTTTGATTCTGGTGTGGGTGCTTCGTTTTGTGGTTCCAATGTATACCTGGCCACAACTGCAAGGTATCCGGTATACTCCTGCAGTGGTGAGGGGGTCCCTTTTGTCCTTTGCTGACCATAACATTTGTTGTATTTTTGTGG